AGTGAGTTGAAGCTGGTGGGCTATCCTGGCTGTGCCAATTCAAGGGCAGCAGTGGCAGTGAGTTCAAGCAGCAGCACCGAGACTGTAGCTGTGCCAATCATAGCACTGGGGCTGTATTTTTAATTGGTTTCTCTCAGCTTAGTTTGTTCCTGGGTCAGGAGGGTGTATCTCCTTCTGTTTGGGGCTCTTCACGCTGTATTATTTTTGGAATCTAAGTTGACTATCTCAGAGAGCCTCTGTAGCCTGCTGTTATCTATCTGCCATCTTTGGGACCCCAGTCTAAGTCTTTTAAATCTCCAAAGACCAGTTAACCTGTCTAAACCTTTGAAGAATGCAAGAAGCTAAGCTTCAGCTTCTTTTGTAAAAATAGAACAGATTTGATGACAGAACTGTTGAAGAGCTCGTAAAAGAGAAGTACACACCATAAAGCAGTATAAGTTTCCTGGATGAACTGTTTGTAACAGAATCTCTTAGTAAAAGAATAGACTTAGTCCCAGAAGGGATGAAGATAGGTCAAAGGTAGTTCAAAATTTGGAAATCTAATAATATTGTTCTCCATATTTAGCAAAGGGGTAAAACCACTCAATCATCTCTACCGGAGCTTGTCTTGGTTTAACTTCTTCTCATCACAGAGACACCAACAATTTAAAGGAGAGATTTTCTTTGTGTGTGTGTGTGGCAAGAGTTGAACTTACAACCTCATAGGGAGGCTTTATGCCACTGAGCTGTATCTTCAGCCTGGAAGGAGAGGTTTATGTTGGCTCATAGTTTGTAAAGTTAAGTCTATAATTTCTTTTTTCTTTTTCTTTTTTTTTTTTTTTTGTACCAGAGATTGAACTCATGACCTCATGCTTGCCAAGCAGGTGCTTATGCCACTGAGCTAAATCCCCAGCCCATAAATCTATAATTTCAGATGGCTTTAAAGCAGACATTAGGGCATAGGAGAATAGCTTATAGTATGGTGGCAGGAAGCAGAAAGCTCTTAGAGGAGGAGGAGGGGAGACAAAGGCTTCCAAGAAATGCACTTAGTGACCCACTTCCTCCAACCAGGCTTCACCTCCCAACACTACATTAGCAGACTAATCCACCAGTGAGTATCACACTGCCTCCAGCCAATCACCCCCCTCCCAAAGCTGGACTCAGTGCATGAGGCTTTGGGGGTGGGGCATCTAGCTAGAAACTGTAGTAAGGCCGAAATCTTTATTTAAATGTCACATATATTCAGTGTTTCTAATAGGCCAGACATAGCTAACATTTTAATATGCTACATGTAGATAGCTAGATATATAGCTATCCAATGCCATCCTTAATAGTGGGACACAAGAATTCCTGTTAACTCTAAAATAGGATGCAAACGACTCTTAACATTGTTCTATATCTTTATTAATCAATGCAGAGACAAGAAAAGGAAATAAAAGTATAAAATAACAACTAATTGTAGATTTGATCCTGTTTATAATTTTTTAAATTTTAAAGAAAGACTAAACAAAACAGAAAATAGGTAGAAATAATATATACATTCAGAGAAAAATAAGCAGTAAGAAATCACTAGTTGATGTTTACATATTGTCATTTTACAAATAGTTGTTCAAGATACAAAAGTGGAACATATAAAGTGGGAATTCAAACCCGAGACTGCAAAGAGTTCTGTTCAACTATCCAACAAAAACTTAGCAATATGCTTGTCAGTCCTATACACTTAAACAGACATGCAGTTATCCATATCTTCATTTATGTTGAAATTAAACAAACTGAAGCAGGCTAAATTCATTCTGAACAAAGAATAATATATTGCTGGATTTCACATCATGATACTCCAGGATCAGCACTGGGTACTGTAGTGTCTTTTAAAAAATTTTTATTTAAAGAAAGACTAAACAAAAACACAAAATGGGTAGGAATAATGCATACTTTCAAAGAAAAAATAATTACTAGTTGATGATTACAGATTGCCCTCTTACAAATAGTTATTCAAGATACTAAAGTGGAGCACATAAAGCGTGGATCCAAACAGTGAGACTGCAACCAGTTCTGTTCAACTATCTAACAAAAACTTAGAAATATGGTTATCAATCCTATACACTTAAACATACATGTAGTTATCCATATCTTCAATTATGTTGAGATTGAACAAACCCAAGCAGGCTAATATCACTCTGAACAAAGGATAATACTATTGCTGAGTTTCACATTATGACACTCCAGGATCAGCATTAGGTATTTTAGTGTCTCTTTTTCTTCAAAGTATCTGTTCATTTCATCATGTGTCATATGATCAGTTCTCATAAACTGTTTATAGATTCTACACATGCATGAGTCTTAACATGTATTTCTATCCTTTCTATATTAGAGGGAGAAACAAAACAAAGCAAGACAAAACAAAACATATTCCTATAAACACATGAAACAAAAAGACATATAAGACCATTGTACAAGGAGTTCTACCATAGTTCCTTGGTTGTCTCTTGTTATCTTCAATAGAATTGTCTATATCATCAGACATAGCATAATTGAATATATCAGTACATACCAGTATTAATAAAAACACAACTTTGTATATAGTATAAAACTTCAAAAACTGGCAGTTATCAAACCAGAATATGTATCATAGAGTCTTGTCATCTTCAGTGTAGTTGCCTATACTTTCAGACTTGATACTATCAATCATAATAGTTTTGAATAAAATCTGTCGATACCAAACAACAAACAATCAAACCAGATTTAACTAAGATCAGTCATGATAAAACATTATAAGTCATACAGGACTCCATATTAAGATAATAGGAAATTAAAGATGATTACTGTGCTATATCCTGATGTTTTTGGGATAGCTGTCTGTGCCCTCAAATCTAATGCAAGTAGATAAACTGGGACAGAATAAAATCTATCAAAAAAGAATAAAATCTGTCTAAGCAGAGTGCTGCAAGTAATGTGGGTTTTAAATCCTGAGACACTATTAACAATATCTTCTGACATCTTTTTTAAGACTCTCCCTCCTCTTTCACTTCCCCAAGGTACACTGTGCATTTTTGGGTCTGACCAAGACCCTTGGTTTTAAATGGGGGGGGGCAACCTGCTATTTACCTAAATGTTTCCAAACCTTCTCTCTCCTGGGAGGCATTATGATAACCATTGTTGATCACCTAGTATTATGCTTTTACATTATCTATTACGTCCACCCTTTTGATTTGACTGACTGTTCTGTTATGTCACATTTGGTTCTACTCTCTTCCAAAAAAGTAATAAGAACTGTGGGAGCAACAAAACCCAAAATGTGTAATTTTCATTGTACAAAAGAGAGGAAAAGAAAGTGCTCTAAATGATATAACTGCATATATATTTAAGTGTATAAGATAGATAATGATATTACTGAGTTTTGTTGGATCATTGAACAGAACTGTTTGCAGTCTCACTGTTGGAATGTCCACTTTATAAGCTTTAATTTTGTAACTTGAACAATTGTTTCTGAGATGACAAAATGTAATCCATTTACTAGTGATTTCCTACTGTTCATTTTTTTCTGTAAATCTGTATAACTTGTACCCTTTCTCTGCTTTTTTTCTTTTCTTTTTCTCCTTAAATAAAATTTAAAAAAAAATGAAATGATCTCTAATTGTATTCCTTTACCTATTAAAGACTGTCTTTCCAACCTATCCACAAATACTGGTCTAGTTGCCCCTATTACTCTCTGGTTCTCTGTCACATAGAGCATTGTTTTCTCATATTTGATTTTCAGCCCATGTACTCTTTTTCATGTTAATTATATTTCCTATAAATAGCATCTCAGTGGATCCTGCCTGCTGATCTACTCCACATGTGGTTTTTTTTAATTTAGTGTATCAAGGCCATCTATATTAGAGATTATAATCAACCTTCTCGGCCTCATTTCTGTTATGATCTTTTTTTGCCATCAATTGTCTGCTTATCTTCTTCATTCTGTTTTCTGCTCCATTCATTGAGACCTCTCTGCCACTGTTCCTGGAATCCTAGTACTTTTCTCTCTCTCTTGAATGCCCTGCAGTATTCTCTGTAGAGTTGGATTGGTGGTTGTGAATTTCCCAAGTTCCTCTTTGTCTTGGAAGCATCTTGTTTCTCCATTAATTTCTGTGTCGGTGTCGGTCCCGGCCGGCAGGAAAAGCACACGACAAGAGTTGTTGGCGGACAGCCTTTCTGTTTATTCTCTCTCTCCGTACAGCCTGCTCCGGGATCCCCGATCCCGCCCGAGGGAAGCCTCCTCTGGTCCGCCCTCCGCGGCTCCTTGCGTGCTTCTCTCTGTGCTTCTTCTCTCTTACTCTATTCTCTCCTATTCTCCTTCCTATTCTGCCTCTCCCCAAGGGTGGCACCAGTATATATACGGATACAGTGTCCAATCATATTAAAGTAGGCAAGGCAAGCTGATTGGCTAACGGCAGTTGTTGCTGGGCGGACTGTCTTACAGGGTGTGTTGTTTACTAAGCAGGAAGCAGGATATAAGCGCCATCTTGGCACACTCGGTGGGAGGGGTAATCTAGCTCAGGCTTCACTCTTTCCTACAGGCCTCATATCACCCGGCCAGGGCCCCCAACATCTCCCCCTTCTTTATTTATTAAGATAGAGTGGTCTGTGGGTCCATTTAAGGTGTCTAGGAGTGGGCCTACTTTGTAGGCCGAGGCATGAGAGAATGTAGAGGTCTATACCCTGCTGTGCATCACCTTGTTTTGTGCATATCCTTGGCCCAGGACCATGCTCAAGGTGAGTGGTTCATTTTTTGCAGGGCCAGGCTTTTGTGAACCGAACCTGGATGCATATAGACATTCATTCCTGTCTTCCCCCCAACCTTTGAGGCGGATGGCAGTGCAGTACCCTTGGTCTCGCATCTCAATGCCATTAACTTTACTCCCGGAGGGACCCTCGGCCTTACAGGCCAAGTATATCGGAGTGGAGCCTGTCTTAGGTTGATCAGGAGAACTTCTCCCGTCTTACCCGTCATTGGCTTGTCCACTCAACTCTTAGAGCTGATGTTTGGGGGAGATACGAAGGGGTCCGCCGAGTGACACTGAGGAACTAAGTAATCACCATTGGAGTCGTGCCTTCCTGGCCTGAGCCCAGAAAGCACTAGGAGTGGAATCCCCTTGACTCTGGGCCAGCAATATCATCAGTGCCATATGTGTCTTTTGGGTCGTCCTTATCGACCGCAGGCACCTGAGGGTCACGAGAGCGACAACCATGAGAACAAGAATGATCCCATACACAAGAAGTGATGAGGGTTTGAAGAAAGAGCCTATCTGGCCTAGGACATCATCAAAAAAGGAGGCTGTAAGTATAGGTACTTCTATCTGATCTAGCTGCCGGATGGTCATATCTAGGCGCACGCTAGCATTCCAAAAGGAGGAATTGTAGGTGGTGAGAACATAATCCTGAAATTGCTTGTAGGCCGAACGGTTAACCTGAATGGGGGTAACGCATAACTGGGTGAATGCCCATCTGGCGTCACACAAATTGTTAGCCACCTCCCAAAGTCCTTGGACTTCTTGGGCAATTAGGTCGATCTGTTGCTGTAGTGCCATTATGGCGTTGTGCTGGAGGAGGTTAACTTCTTGCTGTTCCCTCAGCGCCAAGGAGGTGGTGTCTGTAAGATTGGCAAAGGCCTGCGCCGTCAGCGTGGACTGAGTCAGAGCAACGGCAGCCGTCACAGCCGTTGCAGTCAGAGTCACGAACAGTGCTGCCAAGGCCGCTGTGATCCCAAAATCCCTCTTATGCCTGAGCATGGGTAGCTGGTCCTGTTGGTAGACGGGATGAACCCAAACAGATTCGTTAAAGGGAACCCACATCAGTGGGGGTCGAAGAGCCAGCATAGCATACGGGAAAGACCCATTCCAGCAGTTCCCTGTAAAACAAGATTGGTTACTGCACTTGAAGGTGATGTCAACAGAGAACACCCATAAGTAGGGCGGTTTTACACATGCGGCCTCAGAGTTAAGGGTGACATTGGTGGTTCCATTAGAGGCAGAGGCGTTAATAGCAAGCACAGGTCTTAAGTCCATGCAGGCTCCCGTGGAGAGGCATAACCAATTTTCATTAAGGGGGAAGGGGAAACTTGTTGCCAAATTGTTGCTTATTTCCTTGTAGGGCTCCCACCAAGTCACAGCGCCATCAAAATATTGGTGTCGCTGTGACTCCCACCCAGTCACAGTGAGTATGTCTGTACTGCGTGGAAGAGAGAACCGGGACCACCAAGACATGTTTAGATAAGTAACTCCCACGCCATCGACAGTGCAGGGCTGCCACGAAAGTTGTGACAGATCCACCATCTGTCTTTTACGGCTTGGGGATACACGGTACGGGCATGTGGGAAAATCGGGACGGGTGTGCATGGCTGCTCGGGGTCTACAGGCTAGTTGGCTAGCGTGTTTACCCGAACATTCAGGCGGATACAGAAATGGGGCGGACAACTTTACCATCAGGGAGGTGTCGTGCCATTTTATAAAAAAGGGCAGGAAGCCTATGCATGATCCCAGATGACATGAGGGGTAGCTAACAGTGGAAAAGATGACCACATCATTAGTGATGGGGAGGTCAAAACGTATGGGTTTGATGGTTAGCGGTATATCTGGTATGCAGGGCAATCTGGCGGAGCAGTTTTTTGCGTACAGCTTTGGGAGAGAGGGGGCTGTAGTAGAAATCATGGCCAGCGCTGGCGGATGGTGTATTGCCGCCCATACCAGGTCTGCTCCTATTTCAGTGGTGGTGGTGAGCATCAGAGCCAGGAGGAAAGGGGTTGCCGGGAGGCGGCGTGGCCTAGCCATTCTGGCTGCGCCGTACCCTAAAAGAGAACCAATTACTATAGAGAGCATAATCATTATTGTGCTCCAGAAGTCATACGGTATCGCTCGGTCGAGCAGCAGTATCCTGGTCGGACCGATCTTGACCGGGCTGTTCGTTGCCGTTGAGTTTTGGAGTGTCCCCTGCATTGCGCTCCGTTGGATTCGCTACGCGCGTCAGCCGTTCTGGAACCCACAATGGTTCTCTTCCTGGTTCCTGTGGGAAAACACAAACCGCACCTCGGTTCCAGCTGACTACTGGATCCGGGCCCATCCATTGTCCCGTCAGGACATCTTTCCATTTCACCCATCCCCTATTGCTAGGAGATGGATTACAATGTTCCATAGCCGGGGAGTGGTTGTTGTTGTTCAGGTTCGAAAAATTGTATGTGAATAGTGCCATGGAGAGCCGTGCCTTTGGGGGCAGGCCCTGGCTTACTCCCCCTTTTTGTTTTTGTAGAATTTCTTTAAGGCTTCTATGAGCCCTTTCAATGATTCCTTGACCTTGGGGATTGTATGGAATACCATGTTTTAATTGAACCCCCATTTTTTTGCAGAACTCATTAAAGGCTTTGCCTATATAGGCTGGTCCATTATCTGTCTTTAATATTTTGGGCTTGCCCCACGCGGCCCAAGCCGCTAAGCAGTGATTGATCACATTAGATACTTTTTAACCTGTCTCTGCAGTTGCGAATATAATATGAGAACAGGTGTCCGTGGAGACATGGACATACTTAAGAGATCCAAATTGTGTCATGTGTGTGACATCCATTTGCCAAATATCGCCAGGGATCAACCCTCTGGGGTTAACCCCCATTGATATGGCAGGCGTGTGTGTGGCGCATGAGCCGCACAGTCGCACGATGTCCCGCGCGTCAGCCCTGGAGATGTGGTACTGGTTGGCTAGCGTCCTGGCGTTGATATGGAATTTGTCATGGAACTGACGGGCTTGCTCTATTGGAGATAACATATTGAAAATCCACAACGGGCGAGTGGCCGCGTCAGCAGCCGCATTGCCCTGTACCATGGGCCCTGGTAGGCGTGTATGTGCTCTTATGTGAGTGATGTATATTTTGTTGTGTCTATTTATGAGCAATGTCTGGATAGACAGAAACAAATTAGTCACCTTGGAGGTTGGCTTAATTGGGCCTGCAGTCTCAAGGACCTGTATGGCATTGATCACATATTTTGAATCAGAGATAATATTAAGGGCTCCTGGGAACTTCTCGAGGACGGTTTGTACAATTTGTAACTCTACCACTTGTGGTTGATCTGGTTCAAATTGTATGCTGATCGGAGGCATACCTGAAACCACATAGGCCCCTATCCCGGTTTTTGACCCATCAGTATAGACCGTTGTTGCAGGAGTAAGGGGTGCAGGGGCGGTGATTTTTGGAAATATCACCGGATGTTGAGTAACAAACTGTAGTATAGGGTCCTTGGGGAACTGATTGTCTATCTCCCCAAGAAAAACACATCTCAGGATGGCCCAAGTATCTATGCAAGCAGTCAGGATTTTTATTTGAGAAGCGGTATAAGGCACCCGAATAGCGTGAGGCGTGGAGCCAAAATGCTGGATGGCTCTACCATGTGCCTCCAGAGCCAGGGAAGCAACTGTTTCCGGGTAATGTTCAATAATCTTGGCAGGTGAAACCTTAGGGTGCACCCACAGAAGTGGTCCTTTCTGCCAAATCACTGCCGTGGGCTGAGAACTGGTCTGCAACAAGCAGACCTCAAAAGGCTGTTCTGGGTCAATTCTCTGTAATGTAGCTTTGCTTAGGGCCTCTTCTATCTTTTTTAGAGCAACTCTGGCTTCTGGGGTGAACTCTCTAGGGGAGGCAATATCCGGATCTCCTCTCAGGAGATCAAACAGGGGCTTTAAGTCCGAATTAGGGATGTGCAAGTAAGGTCTGATCCAATTTATATCTCCCAATAACTTTTGCATGTCATTTAGGGTTGTAAGATTATTTGTTCTGATGGTTACCTTCTGTGGAGAAATCGATGTAGGGGAGACTTTGGTACCCAAGTAGGTTACTATGTCTCCTCCCTGAATCTTGTCAGGGGCAATATGTAAATTGGCCTTTCTCAGGGCCTTGACCAGTTGGCCTAGCATATCCTCTAACCTATTTACATCTTTTGCACTGATCAGCAGATCATCCATGTAATGAATACACCTAACTCTGGGGAAGGCCTCGCGTAGGGGGGCCAGTAGAGAATCAAGGTAAATCTGACACATGGTGGGACTGTTGGCCATACCCTGGGGTAATGTGACCCACTCGTACCTCTGATCAGGACTTTCTTGGTTAGTGGTGGGTAGGGTAAAGGCGAATCTATGGGTGTCCTCTGGATGCAGGGGGATTGAGAAGAAACAGTCTCTAAGATCTATAACATAAACTGGCCAGGACTGAGGGATGGCCGAGAGAGCTGGCAGCCCCCTCTGGATCGCCCCCAGGGGTTGCATCTGCGCGTTGACTGCCCTTAGATCATGGAGCAGCCTCCACTTACCTGATTTCTTTCTAATAACAAAAACAGGGGTATTCCAAGGGGAGGTTGATGGCTTTATGTGCCCTGCCTGAAACTGGGTTTTGACTATCTCGGTTAATGCTAAAAGCTTCTCCCTGGGTAGGGGCCACTGAGGTACCCAAACCGGATTTTGGGATTTCCAAGTGATCTTAATTGGAGTGGGCAGGAGAACTTTCTCAGTGGCCCCTAGGAAAAACCCAGCCCATGTCTATCTTTCCTTTTTTCTACAGACACGGGAGATGTCCGGCCCTGCAGGGCAGAGCCCAAGCCCTTGCCAGGGACATATCCCTGATTTCTAAGTATGCCTTTAGCTTGGGGAGAACAGGTGGATGTAAGAGTGACATCCATCTGAGTGAGGATGTCTCTTCCCCACAAGGATATCGGCAGCTGTAGAACAAAAGGTTGAAAATGTCCTTGGTGACCTTCCTCATCACACCAAGGCAGGGTCACGGCACTAACCTGGGGGGCAGCCACCATCCCCAACCCTTGGAGTGTGTTATCAGCTGTATTGGTGGGCCAGCTAGAAGGCCAGTCTTTCTTGGAGACAATGGAGCGGTCTGCCCCTGTATCCAGGAGTCCTGTTATTTTTTTACCATTAACCCTGAGCGAGAGCATGGGTCTTTTATCAAGAGTCATATGAAGTCCTTCAAAAATTTCTCCAGAGGAGCCAAAACCCTGATCCCCTCTAACCCGTTGTCTAGACTGGAATCTCTCATGGAGACTGGGGAGCAATAAAAGTTGTGCTATCTTATCCCCCTCATTAATCACCATGGTCCCTACATGAGATTGTACCATAATCTTAATGTTTCCTGTGTAGTCTGAGTCTATAACTCCAGGGATCACGGTAAGGCCCCGGAGGGCTGTGGAGGACCGTCCAATCACTAAACCAACTGACCTTTCAGGTAGCGGTCCTTTGAAGGTGGTCCCGACCACCTGAACGCCCATATCGGGTGTTAATAGGAGTCTGGAGGCGACACAGAGGTCCACGCCTGCTGACCCAGGGGTAGCCCTTGTGGGGGGCTGCCACCTTGTGCTGTCCTGTCTAGGGGGTGGGGGCCCATCCGTAGGGAGGGCCCCCTCTGGCCGTTTTTTGGCTCCGGAATCTCCCTGCCACTAATACGGTTTCCCTGGGCATCAAAAACTGATCTGCAATCTTTTGCTTTGTGAGAACCTTTACCGCACCTTTCGCAGGTCCCCGTTTGTTTGTCTGATTCCTGTCTTCTGGGTATAAATTCCCCCCGTCCAGTCTTGGGGCAGTTTTTTCTTATGTGGTTAGGATCCCCACACTGGAAGCATCCCCTGGGCTTACCAGGGTCATTAGCCTTCTGAGGCCTTGTCTGTCGTAAAGCGGCAGCTAAAAGGGCAGCCACGCCTGAGTTGGACAGTGGCCCTCCTATTTCTCTGCAAATCTTGATCCAAGCTTCTATGTCTTTACCCTTGTGGGGCGCTATGGCTGCCCTGCAGTCCTTGGTGCACTGCTCAAAGATCAACTGTTTAACAAGAGGAGCAGCAGCAATCGGATCTGAAAAGAGTCTATCGGCTGCCTCTTGCATTCTGGCCACAAAATCCACAAAAGGTTCTGTGTTGCCCTGAACAATTTTAGAGAGGCATTGTGAGGCCGCTCCTGTGTTGTTTACCTGCTTCCAGGCACGAATACCTATGTTGTGTATTTGTTCATATACACCTGGAGGGAATCTGGTTTGATCTTGGGCATATTGACCCTTACCCATAAGCATGTCCTCATTTTGTCCCCTATGGCCCCTAGCCGCATTTCTCTCGGCCTGCTCGGCAGCAAACTCAGTGTACCAGGCGCGCCAGTCCAGAAAAGCCCCGGGGGCCAGGCAGGCTTTAGCCAACTGGGTCCAATCACTGGGTGTCAGGAAACCACCGGCGGACAGATTTTCCAACATTGTTATAGTGTAAGGAGCAGTAGGGCCAAACGTGGCAACCGCAGTTTTGAGCTCCTTAATTTGCTTAATCTCCAGTGGTTCCCAATAATTGGGTCCCTGGCCTTGCGCCAGGTGTACCGGATAGAACCCACATTGTTCGTACTCATTTGCCCCATGGGGGATTTGTTCCATCTTAAATGTCCATCTACGAAAGTACTTTTCTTGGGACCTTGGTATTCTCTCACAAGATGGTGTCTCCCTGTGAGATGACTGTCTCTCCCTATCACAAAATGGCGCCTCTTTACAACATGGCCGACCAGCCTTTAGGGCACAAGATGGCGGGTCGCCAGGCAAATAAGATGGCGGCTCTGCATGTGACAACGGTCCAGGCCACTCCCTCCATGGGGGTGGCAACGGAGGTGGGCCCCAGGCTGCCATCTCACCATAGGAACTGGCGTTTGGGACCCCCCAGGGTGGCGCGGAAGGCTCTATGACCTTCCGTTGGGGAGTGCTCAAGAGTTCTTTTCCCTTTTTTAGGTCTGTCTGCATCTTGACTAGATCTCTACGTAAAGCTGCGAAGGGATTAGGGGAGTCACTTACCTCATTGTCCTCGCCCTCCGAGGTATCTGAGTCTGAGGAATCCGAGGCAGGGGGCGCCTCTCTCTTGCCTCGCTCTCGCGAGCGCCCTCGCACGCTCCCTGCGACGGACCCCTCCCGGGAGGACTCCGAGCGGGCCCCCTCAAAAGCTCGGCAGGCCCGAGAGAGCCCGTCCGCGCTATCTTTAGCCCCGTTCCTCTCCCCTTTGAGGCAGGAATGAATCATCTCCCAGAGCGGCCGAACTGAAAGTGGAAGCCGGCACTCCGCTTCTGCTCGTTCTAAATCTTTACCCAATTTCTCCCAACAAGGCAGGGACAAATGTCCCGTCGGCAGGAACCAGGGTGCCGCCTCATCTATTTGTTGGAGGAATTCTGCAAGTGTCTTGGAACTTATTGATATGCCTGAAATCTTGAGCAGGTCTTTCACTGCTCTTACCAGTGACTTGGAACTCTTAGTGGGTAAGTTGCCCATGCCTGTCACTGAGAAGTTTGTTCTCACCGTGTGAGGCTAGTCTGCCACGTACACGTGAGCCTGAGGGGAGTCTAAAAAGCCCTGTAGGTGCGCGCCACCCAGAGCCCAGGTTTATCCCCTACTCACCTGTCCTGCAGTGCAGTACTGGAGCGTTGTCCGCCTCGTCTCGGGGGTGATCAGTTCCCCGTACGGGCCACCAATTGTCGGTGTCGGTCCCGGCCGGCAGGAAAAGCACACGACAAGAGTTGTTGGCGGACAGCCTTTCCGTTTATTCTCTCTCTCCGTACAGCCTGCTCCGGGATCCCCGATCCCGCCCGAGGGAAGCCTCCTCTGGTCCGCCCTCCGCGGCTCCTTGCGTGCTTCTCTCTGTGCTTCTTCTCTCTTACTCTATTCTCTCCTATTCTCCTTCCTATTCTGCCTCTCCCCAAGGGTGGCACCAGTATATATACGGATACAGTGTCCAATCATATTAAAGTAGGCAAGGCAAGCTGATTGGCTAACGGCAGTTGTTGCTGGGCGGACTGTCTTACAGGGTGTGTTGTTTACTAAGCAGGAAGCAGGATATAAGTGCCATCTTGGCACACTCGGTGGGAGGGGTAATCTAGCTCAGGCTTCACTCTTTCCTACAGGCCTCATATCACCCGGCCAGGGCCCCCAACATTTCTGGAGACAGTTTAACAGGGCATATCAATCTGGGTTGGAGGTTATTTCTCTCAGGACTTGGAATACTTTACTCCAGGCTCTTCTTGACTTGATGGTTTGTGTCAAGAAGTCTACCATTATTCTGATGGGCCTTCCTTTACAGGTTACCTGTTTCTTGTCTCTAACAGATTTTAATATTTTGTTCTTATATTGAATTTCTGGGATCTTGAGTATTATATGTCTGGGTGTAGCTCTGTTTTGGTTGTAGGTGGCTGTAGTTCTGTATGCCTCATACATCAGAATATCATTTCCTTTTCCTATATTTGGGAAGTTTTCCTTAATTATTTCTGTGAATAGCCTTTTTAATTCCTTTGTTTGTACTTCTTCATTCACATTCTTTATTCTCAAGTTATAGATTCTCTTGTTGTCTTCTAGCCTTTGTATTGTTACTGCTTGTTTCCTTGTTATTTTTAAAAAGTTTTTCCTTTCATAATCCCACATTGCAAAACTGCCCTCCAGTTTGGCTAATCTATCCTTAGTTTCTTTCAAGGAGATTTGCCATTTTTCATAGAGTTTTTAATTTCCTGGTAATCTCTTTGAATCTGCTTCATGTATTCTATATTTTCTTTATATTCTTCACCAAATGGTTCTCTCCTTTGTTTGAGTTCCTCCCTTCTTCCATCTGTGTCTGCTTGAGGAGTGCTTAGCATTTCTTTTATTAATCTGCTCATATCTTGCTTACTTGGCTAAATATTTCACTTTTGAACTTGTCTATGAGGTCCCGAAGATATCTCTATGTGTCTACTGGTGCCGTGTCTGATATTGTATGTTTGCTATTCTCATTCTCCTTTGTATTTACCTGAATTGGGTCAATGTCTTCAGGGTTGGGACCTGGGGACTTTTTCTTGTTGCTTCCACTTCCCATCTTTTTTGTTTCTTCCAGGCCCCAGTTTCTTTCTTTGTTGGTTACAATTCTTCTGAAGCATGCTGGCTAGGTGACCCTTCCCACTGCAGTGTGCTAGTGAGTTGCAAACAGAGGCAGCATATGCTGGCCCCTCCTCTCTAGATCAGTCAAGCTGCTGAGGCTTCACTGCATTAGTGTGTGCTGCCTCCTCTCCAGATTAGTCAAACTTCTGAGGCTGCATTGCATTAGTGTGCGCTGCCACTGTAGGAAATTAATTTTGGATAACCTATTGGGTCTCAGCCAGGTTGTGCAACCCAGGCCTAGCTCACTCCAGTAATCCCATTTGGGAAGGGAACAACTGACTGAAGTCACTGCTGCCCCTTATTCTTGCCAGTCCTGCCCAATCTCAGAATGTTGTCCGCCAGAGCCCCCCTTTCTGTGGAATGGCTCCACTCCCGTCACTCATCACAGGTTGATGCAGGCTCCTTGCCAGCTCAACTCACCATTCAGCTGGCCAACCCTGACTTCAGTGTGACTGCGCCTCCAGTGAGTTGAAGTGGCGGGACCTCAGATGGCTTGGCAAGTTGCCCACTGTGATGGGAGCACGGAAACTTTAGCTGTTCCAATAGTAGCACCAGGACTGTATGTTTGATTGTTCTTCTCACCTTAGTTTCTTCTTGGGACACGAGACCATCTCTCTCTGTTTGGGGCTTCCCATGCTGTATTATGTTGAATTCTAAGTTGACTATCTCAGTGAGCCTCTGTAGCCATCTGTCATCTATCTGCCATCTTTGCTCCCCCTGTTTTAAAATTTCATGACAGTGAATTTATATGTCATTAGAGAAAAAGAAAGTTCAGGAAATGAATATTATGAATGTAATGAGAAAATTAATAGCATTTTGTGTACAAAGATCTACCAGTTACAATGATAACTTAAAGATCCTTGTATAATAATAAATAAACTATTGAGGAAGCGATCTAACAAGAAATATGTAGGATCTATATGAAGTGGAAAACCAATGAATATAAAAAGACAAATGAAAAGAAATGTGCCATAAGCCCCACGTTCATAAAATGTAAATTCTCTAAATCTTTACAGTTAATATTATCTTAATAAAGGTAACCATGCTTTTAGTTCTGTGTAGGGAGAGGAAAGCTCTAAATAACCTTATTTTCTTTTTGTTTGGTCTTTTGAGTCAGGGTCTCATGAGGTCATCCAGGCTGCCCTGAACTCTTTATGTAACCCTCCCTGACTTTGAACTCATAATTCTCATTCTTCAGCCTCCTGAGTGCTGCAATTAAGGGAACAGCTTATTCTAAAATTTATATGAAATAATAACAAAAAAAAAGTTTAAGAATGGCCAGACAAATATGAAAACAAGAAGAGAACTCAGCCTTGCCAGGCATAACTAATATATATATGAGGTGTGATCAAAGAACATAGTGGATGTCCATATTAAAATAATTTATTACAGTAAAACACACATTGCAATCAGTCGCCTTCAGATGTCCCCCCTTTGAACACACTTATCCCTTCCTTGTTGCCACTTTCTGAAGGACTAACGGAAATCCTTTTTTGTGAGTGCCTTTAGTTGCACTACTGGGACTGCTTCCTGTCCTGAATGTGTTCGGAGGGGATGGGGAGCATTTGGGACAGTATGGCCGTAGACCTGAATGGATTCAAAATGTTCACCTTTGGAGTCATCTTGACTTGGGGGAGGAGCCAGAAGTTGCTCAGTGCCAGACCCAGTGAATAAGGTGGGTGATGACACACTATCACATTTTTAGAAGCCTGACTTTCTGTTGGATGACCCACATCAGTACCATTCAGTTTATTTTTGATCATATTTCGTAAAGATACTTAGGAAGAGGACTTCCACAGCTGCTCACATAAAGAAATTAGCGACCAAGCTGGGATAAATGTGTTCAAAGTGAGGCGGTTTAATGGCAATATCTTTTTTACTATAATACATTTTTAAAAATCAAGACATTTATTACAATCACATCTCATAAATTCAAAATCAAAACGCTTTGGTATTAACAGATGAATAAACAGGTGAGTTGAACAGAACAAAGAAACCAGACTAGAGCGCCCCCATAACAGGTTAAATAAACACAGAAATTTAGTGCATGGTAAAGGAGGCAGTTATAGGAGGCAAGGGAAGCATTGGATACTTGGTAAGACAACCAGAAAAAATGCTTTTTGGATTCTTATCTTTTTCTTCACACCAGAAGAATATAAAAAACAAAAATAAAAGCACAGTAAAAGAAAATGCAAGATAAATAGCTCAAAAATTTTATGACAGAGAAAAAGATTCCCAGTTTGGTGAAACCAAAATCCTATAAAAGCCCCAAAGCATTAACATGCTAGATATAAAAAGCTTACGCATGGCAAAAGTGCCATTCAGAAGTCCCCGCAGTGGGCTTCTCCAAGGGGTTTGCTGCCTAGTTGCACTGTGGCTCGAGTGGCGCCAGTTCCTTAGCGATCTGGGGCTCCCCGGCTGCCTCCTCTTCATGCGCTGCAGCCCCTCACGGTGGGCTGCAAGGCTTCTAATCCCTTCGGTGCCTTGTTTTTGCCTTCATCTCTAAAGATGGTCACTTGTGTGAGTCTTAGCAGGTGACATCATAACCTCGAAAGTCTTCAGTGCAGAAAGCTGCTTGTATACTTGAAGTTACGTTAAAATTAGGATTTATTATCCTCTTCCTGTTTCCAGGAACTCCCAAATGGCTGGGATGAAGTGGAATTTTTATGGCACAGCCCCTCCTTGTATTATCAGTGACACAGTCTGTTGTACGCTTTTGTTTCTAATGAAAAATGCTGGCCTGTGCATCTGTTCTTTCCAGCCTCCGTAAATGATATGTCAAAAAAAATTCTTTTTCCAGTTGACAAAGAATTTGTAAATAATTTCTACAAACCTCGATAGAAAACAAACAAAAATACCGGCAGACAAGTCACGTATAAAGAAATAAGAATGATTTAAACGTGACACCTAATCTCATTCATCATAAACAAAATGGAAGTGAAAACTTCAGTATCAATTTTTACCTGTTGGATTATCAAAAATCCAACAGGATTAGAGAAAAATAACACCTCAGAGAAATGTAAATGGGACTATAAAGTGGTACAATCTCAGCGGAAAATATTTTTACAGTATTTTTTCAAAATTAAAAATAAGCCAACCTTTTGAGCTAGCAGATGTACTTTTAGAAGTTATTCGACAGCCTCACTTTACCTACATGTGTAAAATAGGTTGTACTGTCAAAATTGCAAAAGATTGCAAACAATTGTCTATCAGTATGGAGCTATTTATATAAATTTCTATCATCCACACAGTGGAATAGCAGCATATTTTATGCTTAAAAAAGGAGACGGATCTTCATGTACTAATATGGCGCCATCTCCAAGGCACATTAAATGAGAGCTGGAAGGTTCAGAGCAACATGCAGCATGCGGAAGAGCAAGCAGCAATGCTGTGAAAGTGTGTGTTGAATATGTCTGGAAGGGCTCACAGGAAACTGCCACTGTGAGGCAGGGAACTGGGACATGAGGGTCAGGAGTGGAAAGAAGCTGCATTTTATTTTTACTGCCCACTTTTAAATCCCATGATCTTTGTGTAGTGCTCCACCACTGAGCTCCATGCCTGGCCTGATGGTATGGATTTTTCACTGTCCTGATGAAAAAAATAAAAGCACTCAAATCTGGTATCAAAAGAAAGAAAAATAAATGGAAAAAGACTGAACAAGGTAGCATGGTGTGCCTGTCTTACAGCCCGCGGTGATCCTGTGAACTTGGAAGTGCAGGGTGGGACTGCAGGAAAGGAAGAGCCCATTTTACCAGAGGAACATGGGGGATCCAGATGTCGTTTTGAGTAAGAAAGGACGGCTGAATGTAGACACTCCCCGCACTTATGAAGGTGCTGATGCACGTATGTGCAGAGTGGCCCTTTGGTCATGTAACAATGAACAAGGCACTACCACAGGTCCCAGGAGGTTCCGGTCTTGGGGTTGTTGCG